AGATTCTTATCCTGATCGGTGCTGTACTAGATCAGCCATCTTCTCCTAATTAACCTCACTGCTGCTCCTGTTTAACTGAAGCCGCTGTAGATTTGTGACTTGGCTACCATGTTTGTGTGTTTTCTTGATTTTTATTTCTTTTCCCTGCCCACAGCAAGTGAAAGAGGCAGGTTACGGAGCCAAAAGTCGTGTCAGTGCTGGAGGATGAAAAAGACACAAGAGGTCCTTTAACACAAAAGCAAGGATTTGGCTCTGCAGCGTTTGGGACGAGTGTCAAAGGATGGAGCTAATTGTGGTGAATGCAAAGCTTTGGCAGTGCCTCGTTCTCCTATCAGATGCCAACATTATTCTGTGTGTGGATGTCTGTGTGCGTGTGTGTGTAGTCAAGCATTCCCTCACTCTTTTGTTTGTGTATTTCTCTGCTTCCTCCAGAGGCTCTGGTGGAAAATGGTCTGCAGTCGGACTGCCAAAAAGGAGCTGATTTAGTTGCTTTCCTTCTGCTGAGGTCAGTTAGCTTCAGATCGTCATTAAATCCTTGATTTGTTATTCACATGCAGGACTCCTTCACCTGTGAGAGAAGTGTTTAAAGTTTAGCACTTAATCAGCTGAGTGTGTGTCGATTTTGTTCTGCCAAGATCTTTGAATACTGATCCATTGGTATTTAAAACCAATTGTTCTGTCAATACCTCAGGTTGTGACAAGCAGGTAAACATTAAGGATTCTGACCCACAAATAACAGTGACAGAGAATTATGACCCTACAAAGTCATGATCACCTGCTAACCTTGGTTGATTGAAAAGAAAAAATAAACCAAATGCTAAATTTCTTTTTCTGTTTCAGCCTGAAATAAAAGTATTTGATTGGTCAATTTAAACTAAATGAGACACAGGATGTATGGTCAATATTGGTAATAAAATCCATGGTCAGTAAATGCTTTTTTTTAATTATTATTAAATTTTCCACAACTTTTCCAAAAACTTTTTCACTTCCTTTTATCTGGGTATTTTCCAAAGTAGCCACTACACCACCCATCACCCTCAAAACTCAAGTTTGAAAACCAAATATTTTTTTAATATTGTGAACGTTTGAAGCCCTGGAGATCTGACTTGCTCATTTATAGCCTCTAATTGAAGGCAAACCTAATTAGGACGCTACGTATCCCTTTTTCTCATTTCCTCTCTCGGCATCATTATATGAAAATTAATACCGACCAACACATGCATTACCCGCTGCTTTAATTCTGCTGGAATTAATGAAGGTGAAAATAATTCTCTTTGAAAACAGAGGAGGGGAGGATAAAAGGTCCTGAAGTGGGAGCGCACACTTGTTTGTGTCATGAGACTTCTGCTAACTTGCTCTAAATAAATCAGTGATTAGCATTTTTCCCTTTAAACGGAATAATTCCAACTTTGATATCTGTAATTGTGCTTAAGGGCTTCTGCGCTCCTCCGCTGGCCCTCAAACGCTCTCTGCTCAGTGCAGAGATGATCACAGCTGCTTTTTATTCACTTCACACTCATTCACAGGCCCTTCGCTGCTTCCACAAGGGTTGAGAGGTAAAGTTAGCCAGGTGCTGTAAAAATGAGAATATCATAGAGCAGTAAGTGCTGAAAACGGTTGGTTAAAAGTTGATTTGGAAAATGGGTTGACTCTCAATGTTCAGAGTGAGTCTTAGAGAATAACACATGGCGTTCCACAAGGTTTAATACCGGGAGCCAAACTTTTAAGATATTTGAACTGGATTTAGTGATGTGTGAGCAGTTATAAAAAACGTTTAATATTAACTTGTCGAGTGGCAGTGAGGTGCTGCTAATTAAATGCAAATTTTAAGTGATTATAAGAGTGAACACCTCAATAAAAGCAAACATTTAAGTAATGTGCTAGATGTTGGAGCTGCTTATTCTGTAATAGGCCATTCTAACTTGTTTTTTTTTTTCTCTGGAAGGAAAATATTACTCAAAAATGAAAAAAAAAAAAAAACACTGAGACAACTGCCTGTCATTGTAGGTTTGAAGGTTCCCCAAAAATCAAATTGGGGTATACTCAGAAATTACAAACATCTTACACGCTATCTCAGACTCCACAGTGTTCAGTTAGCATAATGCTAAAGTTGATGACCGAACACAAAGACTGAACTAATGTTTTTTGTTACAAAGCACTGCCGGAGAAACCATTTTCTCCTGAAAAATAGTATGGCAGCATGATTTAGGTTTGCAAGGCTTGAGCTTTAGTCAAGCCTTGCAGTCATCGAGCAAACGATGAACTTTGATGGATACTGACACGATTTAGAGTCAAATATGAGGTAATGTGTCTGTACAGATGAAGCTTGTCCCCAACTGGACCATCATCCCAAACCCTATGTATAATAGGATGGCTCTATAAGAAAAAAAAAAAAAACTGTTTCAATGATCCAGACTTGTGATAAAGGCGATGCAGAAACAACTGAATCAATTGTTAAAATATTACAATGCTTCATGGCCCCAAAATCCTCTACAACAAAATAAGGGCCTTGTAAAGTCAAGAAGAAGACAACTGAGACTATAACATGTTAGATGAACGTGAGTTGGACATGGTTTTCACATATTGCTTGATTCAATTTAAGAAGTTTTGTGAAGGTAATCAGAGTGTTCAGTTATTAATGCGGCGTACATAGAAACACTCCAGCTGAATCAGAGGGACTCAGTGTCTGTTTATGGCAGCAGATCACCAACAGAGGGGGGTGTTGCACCGCTGGTCGGAGCTCCAAGGGTCATCATTCGGAGCTCATCACTTCACCTCTGCCTTTTCTTTTCTGCTTTTCATCACAGGAGACAGGATCAGAGAAGCGAATCGTCCCTTTAATGGACGAAGCTGACACTAAGACTTGATGGCTGCTGTTAAGAAGGACGCCTTCTTACAGAATGTGTCGTTTTTAAAATATAATTTAAGTTTCTAGCTACATTAAATTATTATAAATTATATTTTTGTGTGATTTTATGTGTTTAATATTTTAGCGGAAAAATACACTAATCACTTATTTTTATATCAGTTTCCTTATGAAAAGAAAGCGAACACATATAAAGGATGTTTATTAGGCTATTGTTCAGATGGATCTTTGTAATAAACAAAGAGCTGCTGATTGGCTGGAAAAGTGGAAGAAGAAGAAAGAGTGAAGGCACACATCAAACATTCCTCTCACAGCTCAGATCCTCTTAAAGTGCACATTTGTTTCTCCCCGCATCAAGTTTAATCTGCCAGCCTGCATCTCCACTCGTAAACATCAATATTAGCAGTTTAGCGGTGAACAGTTGCCGGCGAAGTGATCTTAAAACTCCAAAGGACACCTCCACGTCCCTCTAATTAAAATTTAACCGCGCCAAACGATGCGATGGAGTAAAACAAAAAAAAAGAAGAGGAAGAAAAGAAGCGGAGGAAGGAATTATTTAGAATTAACATAAAAACAAACACGCACATACATATATATGCAAATGAAGGGACGGATGGAAGCAGGACGCCATAACTCACACTGATGGCCTTTAAGTGAGAAATCACCTCTGGAAAAACGTCCAGTAAGGAAGCGGAATGATGCACCTGTCGCCCATCTGACTAATGAGCCAATCAGGTTGCAAGGACATGAAGCCCATGATGCTGATGCTGATGCTGGCCGCAGTGAAGAAAGACTCATTCTCTGCTCCAAAAAGTTGATTGCAATTTGTTTTTTAAATCGCAGAGAAGACAGATCTATTAATTCAATTTAATTGCTAAAAGACGTTGAATGTTTTAAGTCTTCTGTGTGGCCTGATGGTGGGGAGACGGGGCTGCAGGGATTCTTTCACCCGTTAAAATGGCTGATCTGCAGGATACACCTGCCATCGCCCCAACTAAGTACGGAAATCAGGAATCAAGACGATAAGCGCAGGTTTGTCTGGGTTGGAGGCTGTGATGGATGAGAAGAAACCTCGGGCCTGCTGCAACCTCCACGCTCTGCAGAGAGGAAGCTAAACGAAAAGTGAGAGGAGCGATTTCATTTCTCTGGTCAGTTTGAACCACCTCAGCTTCAAAAAAAAAAAAATCCGCTCCCTCTGACACTGGCGCGTTCCCATCAAATGCAAAAGAAAAAAAAAACATCCTAAATGTTCCTTTGGGTTTGGCGTCTCCCCTGGAGGGAGGTGTGTGAGGATGGGAGCCAGAGTGAAGGTGGTGCCAGGGAGGAGTGCGGAAATGCAGTTTCCAGCCGCCTTTAAAGCCCTCAATGCTATCCAAACCCCATTTAAATAAAAAAGTAAAATTAAATTAATCCAGTTCAACGTGTGAATAACAGGGTCTCACTCTTAAATTCACACCTCTAGATGTTCATTTCTCTCCGAAGCTGATTTGACATTATGAGGTCACAAAGCTGCCACGTTAACGCACATCGCCACCTAAATTATTTTTTTAACTCTTCGACGCCCGTATGTTCTTATTACAATCGAATAAACAATAATTAAATTAAGAAACTGTTTTTTTCCCTTTTATTATTAGAATCTGATTGAGATCAATACTTGCGTGTGATCAGTGTCTGTGTGCGTGTAGCAAGGGCCACAACTGAAGAGCAAGACATGGTGTCTCCATCTCAAATGTATCAATTATACAGTTGATAAAAGAATTAAGGATCAATTCTAATTTTTGTAAAATACTCGCTTCGAGGGTGAATTTGTTTTCTCTCTGTGCACGTGGAACACAAAAAGGTCATTTTTGTAAAGTCCGAATAAATCTAACAATCAGTTACATTTAAAGCTTTACAGAGAATTTAAACGGCGGATAATTACAGAAAAAAAAGAACAGAAAATGGGAAAAAAGACTGCCCTGCAAATGTAATGCAAACCGAGTGCTCGTGCACACTGTCCGAGGAGGTGTGCACGCGCTTCGGGTCACATCTCCAACAGAAAACACCAATCCCGCTTACGCAGCGACGCTTCCGCGGCGCGGAGATGACTTGAGCGACTGTGGCCACTGCTGCCGTGCGCGACACATGCCCGAGTGTGAGTGTGAGTGTGTGAGAGTGTGTGTGAAAGCTACCACTAGTCGCCCCCAGTGCTCTTCAGTCTCCACTCTCCCTTCTCACCGCAGACTGAACGTCACGTCCGCACTTGAACTTGAGTTTTCTCCCACCGTAGAAGCCAGAGAGCCGCACAGAGCCACGCGCGCGCGCCGTGGGGATGCGAGACTTTTCCGCGAGCACAAAGAGAAAAAGAGGGTGACAGACCGTCCTCGGACCAGTGCCGGGCTCTGACTGCAAGAGTTAAAGTCTGAGAGGCCGGCGCTGAGAGCAGCGCTGGAGGTGCCCACCACTTGGCGAGAAGAAATCTGGATTCCTGTTTTACAAGCGTCAACTTACGTCCAGCCACCCGCGCCACTCCTCCACACAGGACCGGACAGTGTCCAGTGTCCGGAGAGTGGACACAGAGACGGACAGACCATCAGGAGGTGACCCCACCGCCTCTCCGCTCCGCTCTTTTTTCCCTCCGCGCTCCTTTGAGGGGATGGTGTGAAAGCGACGGAGGAACGAGCCCGGCTGTCCCCCCCCTCCCTCCGCGCTCCAAGAAGGGAGGCGCGCAACCACTTTGGCACCGAGCTCCAAGCGAGCGCCCCGGCGCCCAGCGCTGCGCCACGGCCGGTGACCGCAGAGCGCAGCACCCGCTGCCCACCGAGGACAGATCCGCCGCGCAGGGGCCAGTCCGCGGGCCGCACCTGGGGCCGGTGCGAAGCGGTCAGCTGGGGGTGACCAGTGAATTCTGGGGCCAGTTTGGCCGCGTGCAGGAGCAGCAGCCACAGGAGGAGAAGAGGGAGAAGGAGGAGGAGAGCCGACCTTTCCTGCGCAGCTCTCCGGGCGATGCCAGTGTAAATGCCAGGGCGATGTCCCGACGAAAGCAGGGGAACCCGCAGCACCTGTCCCAGAGAGAAATCACGCGTAAGTTTCCCTGCATCACTTCTCTCACGCTCACAATCCGATGTTGTTTTTTCTTCTTTTTTTTCCCTCGTCTTTTCTGAGTTCATAGAAAGAAAAATCTACATTTTCAGATTTGGCACGGAAAGTTTTGTGGCATGTCCCCCGAGGGATTGTTCTCTAATTTTTCATAATTAATTGGTAGGAATTAGTCGAATTCTTTAAAGCGCTTCTCTGATCTGCTCCGTGCAAAGTAACACGATGTCACTGGAGCTCAGTATTTACAGTCCGAACTCAGGAGGGAGAGGAACTGTGCGCAGCTGAAGGAGCCGCGCACGGAGGAGCCGGAGGTCCGTCCCGAGACGAGATCGGTGCTCCCCTGAAGCTGCGATTTATTCAACAGAGAAATTGATATTTAAGATTAAGAAAGGGAGTTTTAAGTGCCAGATTCCTGACTTATTTTTCTACACAAAACCACACTTTTGTACAATTTATCCATGCTTAATTTCTGAGACTGAATGTTTGTTTTTATTTTATTTAAAAAATAAATGACCAACATAACTTTTCAATAAAACTGTTAAAGAAAAATGGCTTCAATTAAACAGACGCCTTTACGTAAATATGGGATTTTTCCCATCACTTTGTTTGTCCCGTTCAGGCTGTTATGAAGCTCATTTTCCACCATGTAACCTGTTCACAACGTTTGGATTATTTGACAACAAACTAAAATGGGCTTCCTTAATAAGTGACAAACACAATCTATAGGTCAAAAGTTATCTTCTAAATCAGAAATGATCTATTAAATTTGATTAATGTACTTTTTCTTCAAAAGAAAAGACAAACAAACATCGTTGACATTTAATCTTGTGTGACATTTGACTCCCTCATATTAATCCTTAGACTTCAAAGAGTTTTCATCTGTGAAGCTTTTAGGTTTCTTTTTTGGCACTTTTTACTCTCAAACATCTAGGCATGAAGATATTTATTTTGCTTATGGCCTCGGATCACTTTTCGGGCTGATTTGTCCTGGCAGCAGGGAGTCAACACGCACTGAATTACCTTAAATGTTTTTTTACAAACTTTTTTACTCCGGATGTGATTTTAATTCCACAGCCTGGTTGTGCACAAATTCCGCCTTGCAGTAAGGCCGACCTGCATGCACGGAAAAAAGGAATGCTTGATCTTAAACTCACTCTCTTTCTCCTTCTCTGTCTCTCTCTCCCTCTACCTCTCACTCTCTCTCTCTCTCTTTCTCTCGCTAAAGAAAAGTGCCGCAACTTTGCGCAGCAGCTCCCCGGGAGGCCTGCCGAGTGTCACTTGGTGCGCTCTGCAAGTTTATCAGAAAGCTGAAAATGGGGATGTAGGAAGTCAGTTGGAACGAAAGATTGCAAGTTAATAAGCGAGCTTCCTGTTTGCGTAGTTGTTCTGTGTGCAGGTCGGTCGGACGCGTCTGAATTATCCGCGTTCAGGCTCCTTGTACATTACCACGTTCTGTAATTTATGTGCAAGCGAAGGTCTTGGATTTACTCTGCTTGACAACTCGCACGTGCACACACAGATGCACATATTTATGTGAGAAGTAAAACATGTAAATGTACACACCTCCCCCAACATCTACATAATTCCTCTTGCGCTGCCATGCGCTAAAAATCCATCAGATTTAGGTTTGAATGCGCAGGTTTTTATTTATTTATTTTTTTGCGAAACACTCAAAGAAATTGCACTCTAAAATCTCAATTCTACATTAACAGAGAGTGTGGAGATGGTGAAGCGAAACTTTTTAAATAAAGTTTGGCCATGAAGCGCTCAGATGTTTTTTTTTTTGTTTTGCTCTTTTTTTTAGGGGATTCTCTGTTTATGGATACTTTTTCCATCTGAAAGTGTGACAGCCTTTTCTTTCTAGATTCAGTAATGAATTGGTCCTGGAACCAACTGGTGAATGAATCTGAGGAATGATCTGCATGTTTATCGTCTCCAGTAGCCTAAACCAAGCTCTGCACATTTTTCGCATCAAGCACTTAAAAGAGGAGGAAGAAAAAAAAAAAAGAAGAAGAAGAAATCAATCCAGAGTGAGAAATCTCCTGATCATGTGCAGAGTTTGTCCCTCAGACAATAAGAATCAAGACAGTTTCGGGTTTTGTCTGATTTGATGCACGGTGAATTAAAAAAGAAAAGAAAAAGAAAGAAAGAGAAAGCCCGACTCTCCTCCAAGGAGGGTGATGGAGTGTGAAGAGACACAAACAGGACTAGAGCTTTCATTACGCACGCGCGCGCGCACGTGCTCCGTGTAAATTGCAGTCGCCCACTTGAGATGCATGTTTCCCTTCGGCTTGTCAAATAGCCGTGCACCCCGCTGGGGTTGAAGTCTTTGTTAGAGGCGGAGAGGAGCCTTTAAAATGCCACAAATGAAACTGCTCTCCTGCTCAGCGGATTCTGATAAACGCACCGGTTCAGTTTAGGGTCACTAAAACAGCAGCTGATCGCGTGAGATGTGCGTGCTGATTTACTTAAACCAGAACGTGAAGGGATATTTGTTGCCCTCCTCCCCCGCGAATTTTTGTAAACCGGTGCAGTTTCCTATTGCCTTTGTAGCATTTAAATCCTGCATGGAAGTCCACGAATGCGCAAGAGCATGTCTGAACTCATGGCTGCACACACGCTTACACACACTTCTGCATACCAGAGTACTAGCGTGCTCAGCTGAGGTTTACTGTTTGCTTGCACTTCAGCACCTCCTCCTGTTGGTGTTCACGCTGCTTAAGCTAGGGGGAGCTAGCAGGCTGGGAGCGCTGCAGCAGTGTGTGTGGTGTGCGTGAGTGTGTGTTTAATCAGATGACATCAGTGCTGGAAGACCACATTCACCTCTTTAACTGTCAGCAACTGCACACTGTGTACTTCTGGGTCTTATTTACAGTGACAACTTCACAGGGACTCACTCACTGTGCATTTAGTGCACGAATTTAAGCAAATTTTCTGAACTTTTTCTTTAGTTTAAAACACTGAATAATTCTGGTAACAACCCTATAGGATCAGTCTTTCATCTCCACACATTTTTCAGGGTGGTAATGATTAGTTTGGGGTAATTTATGCTGAACCAAATATTTTGTAGTAGATATGGGTTGGCTAATGGTATCAAAAAAGTATTTAAAAAAAAGACATTTAAAACTTGGTAAAATTTTCCACCACAGCGTTCCTGAAAAATGCAGGAACACTGCTTTTTTTTCTGACTACATAAAGCACAGTGCTCCAAACCTATGGCTGTGAACTGCCAGTCAGCTGTTTGACAAATACTTTCTTCCTGCTTACAAAATCAACACACTTTGATTTGTGAAAATATTTCTTGTCGCAAAAATGAAGACATTCATTGTGTCATAATGCATCATCCAACACTGGTTGAGGTAATGCTGTTTCAAAACTACTAGCTCTCTTTTCACTCGAGTCTGTTTATCAAAATCAAAATAACTCTAAATGTTACAGATTTTTGTGTAACTAAAACAATATGCTTCATTCATTTAGCAAACTTAACAACGAAAGAGAAAGAAGCAAAAATAAAAATGTCATATTGTGTGGATTAAAATTAGTGTAATTCAGAACAAGGAGGATTTGTCCATAGAATAAGGGAACAGATATCCCATTCCTGTTGTTGTCCTGGAATCATTTGCTACTCAATATGAGTGCTTTTGCATGTATTTCTTGCTCTGGTTTTGATGGTTGACAGCAGACAGGAAACGACAGAAGAGCGAGAAGGTGATGGTTTGATCCTGAAACACCTGCAAACTGAAAAACACATCGTACACTCTGCAGAAACACAGTCAGATTCATCTCCAGTTGCTCTGTCAAAACAAGTTGCAAAGTAAAAATAGTTGATGCACAGTAAGTTTGTGTCTGCAGAGCTTCTGTATCCAGCTGCAGCTGCATGCAGCAGCAAAATGAGCTTAGAGGAAATTGACTTAAATCAAATTTTGATATCTCAATGCCATCCTGGATGAAAGTGTGTGTTTGTGTGTGATAGTGCGTAACCTGACTAAAATTTTTATCTTGATGTCAGAGCTCACTGCTCACCAAAAAAAAGAAAACACACATTGGCATTTTAATTTTTTTTTTTGTCAGCTTAAGTCGCTCAAAATAAAAGGAAACATTTTATGGCATTTGCTGGTATCTCAAGATGCCCACCAAATGAAGCCAAACCACAGGTACGGTAGGCGGGTTGGGCCAAATTTGCAAATAGAATATTTTTAACTCTGCATTTCATCGGAGCTCCGCATCTCTATTGACTTTTAAAAATTCTGCCCATTTCTGTTTTTTTCCCCTTCTTCATCCTATTAGCGCTATCAGCTGGCTCACATAAACCTTATTAGGTAAATCAGGCTTTAGTGTCGCTTCCTCCTCCACGCCATCATTTGCATACAAACTGTCGGCCGTGCCGGCGTGCAAAAAAGAAGAGAAAATACTCAAAACCAAATCTACGGTTTTGTTTTCATGCAGAGCGTCTCCTCAGACAGACTGAATGTAACGTTACACAGCGATTTATCAGGACGACTAACAAACATCTGAGTAAATTTGATAATTTTTTTGTGGTTGTAAGAGAATCATTCTGTTCCAGTTGATCAACCCACAGGAAGGCAGCTGCCTATTTCACATCTGTCGGTGTTTATCGCATTACTACAATAACTGACATGTCAAATGAAATCGAGTCTGCGGTGTGTGTGCATGCTTTGGTTTTGTTCCAGGTCAGCTAACTGGCTTTATTCTCTCAAATGTTTATTAGGAAACACACTCCGTACTGTACATGGCTGATCATTTCAGAGGACAGATGGCTGCAGCCTGCAGGCCACAAACACAATAACGCATGCATGTGTGCGTGTGAGTATGGGTGTGTGTGCTGCACACAAACATGTTATGATGCAAAAGAAGCAGGGTTGTGGGCTGATGGAGCTCTGATGCTGTACACCTGCTCTCACACACACACACACACACGCACACACACACCCCCCACACACACACCTCCCCCCCCCACACACACATACACACACACCCACACACACACGCACACACACACTCTCACACACTTCCTGCAGCCGTAGAAAACAGATAAGCATGCCTGCATCTGACTTCAGTCTGTCTACTGATATTCTGAGGATCAAATCTAGAATATATCTCTAATTGAAAGTTGATCAGCTCTGTTAAAAAGCAGCAGGTCTATCGAGTTTGACAACTGCAGCTAAATTCTTCGTCCGTTAGAAACGGAAGATCAGGAAAAACATTTATAGTCTGGTTGGACACCAATTTCATGAACTGGAGAATCAGGAATCACAGACATGATCCTGTAAGAAAAATGAAGTTTTTCTCTCTTAGAAGGTTGTTTATGTCCTCATCAAAGTTTTTCTTAGAAAAACTAAACGAATCTTACAGGCATGATGAGGAATCAAACCCAGATTTTTATCTGGTGCCACTGAGCCTCTTCTTTTTCATATACCAACAACAAATTTGCAGAGTAAACCGAGTGCAGAATTTGAGATAAAAGTGTCGTCGGCTTATATTAACCCTTTGTGATCAAAACAGACATCAATAAGCTTAAAGAGGCCATGTCAGTAAAAATAAGAGGAAGTGGAAGCCTGCTTGATTTGATTTTGTGTTTGGATTTGAAAATGTGTTACTCTGGCTTCCTTACCATCAGATTTCACAGACAGCTGCTATGTCTGAAGCCTTTGTGAGTTTATGATAAAATCCTGCTGAGTTCATCAGAGTTTGCAGAGTGGATGAATGGAGAGCAAAGGTCACGATTCAAGGTCAATAATAACCTCCACTGTTTGGATCTGTGTCATTCGTCCGCTTCTTCCTGCTCTTGGCATTTCTCTCTTCTTTCTGACTCTGTTCTTTGAGGAGAAGACTCAAAGATGTGTGTCTGTGAAAAAAGACACTTCTTTTCACATCTCCTGCTGATGTTAATCCAGACTGATGTTGACTCGTATTGCCTGTTTTCTTCTCTTAACTGTAGCGGAAGTTGAGCATCCAGATGGCGCTCTGCTCTCTGGCCCGTCGCCCCCCCACCCGCTCGGCCTTCCTGGCCACGCTGTGGAGCCCAGCTTGGCCCACACACTGCCGCCCGGCCTCCACGTCGATCACGACCTGCTGACCTGTGGCCAGTGCCAACTCACCTTCCCGCTGGGCGACATCCTCCTCTTCATCGAGCACAAGAAGAAGCAGTGCCAAACGCCACTGCTGCCCAACGGTTGCTACGACAAGTTGAATGACCGAGGAGGAGGAGCAGGAGCGGGAGCAGGAGCAGGAGGGGGTCTGCAAAGTCTTCATCATTACGCCCAGCGGGGGGAGCTGAGGAAGGTGGTGGAGCCGGTGGAGATCGGCATCCAGGTGACACCAGAGGAGGAGGAGGCAGTGGGAGGGAGAGGACGAGGAGAAGGAGTGGAGAGAGGAGAGAAGACGCCCACCAAAGGAATTTGCCCGAAGCAGGAGAGCACTCCAGCAGGTAGGCAGGACAGAGACACACTATCACTTTCAGGAAGCTCACATTTTCTCTGACACGCATGCAAAAAACCCCACCAAAAAAACACACCTTTATACAGATAAAATCTGAAAAACAAAATTAATTTAAGTGAAATTTGTAGAATTTAATCGAAATCATTTTAGTTAGCAAGTGTATTTTCTCAACATTGCATAACTTTCCCACTATTCTAAACTGGGAATTTTCCTAACTTTTAGAGTTGGAGACAGAATCCGATAGGTCTGCTTAGGCTCAGTTTTAATTTTTTTTATTAAATCAAACTCTCTAAATGAGCAGTACAATATTGAACAGGGCTGATTTTTTTCACATTTTTTCCACCTGAAAACTGCTAATTTTTATGTAGTCACAATTTTAATTGATAGAACAAACCGAATGTTAAGAAGTATTATAATACATTGATGTTATGCCTTTTTTTTTGCAAACAAATCATGCATTTATTTTCAACCCATATAACTTCTTTTGAAATCAAAATGCTTTCAAAAACCACCTTATTAGTTAATTTGCTTCAATCTTGTATAAACCCAGATTTTTCTGGGACCGCCTTGGAGGTTTATTGGTAAATAATCAGCATCATGGAGACTAAGGAACAAGGCAGATCAGTGATGAAGTCATGGAGAAGCTTAAAGCAGGGTTAGGCCTTGAAAAAATATCCCAAGCTTTGAACTTCTCAGAGATCTTTTTGTAGTTCATTGGTAGAAAATGGAAAAAGTAGCGGTAAATCTATAAAAATGTGGTTTTCCAGCTAATGAGAGAGGTCTGGCAATGAACGCAATTATCAGGGAAGCAGCCTAGAAGGCTCATTGTTTCTCTGGAGGAGCTAAAGCGGTCTGCAGCTCAGGAGGGATATTATGTTACCATGGTAACTGTTAGTCATATTTTACACCAATATTGCTTCAATAGCAGAGTGGTTAAATTTCTGAATTGTTGAAAGAAAACCAAAATAATTTCTTTCAGCGACTTGCTGACAAGCCATGTAGGAGGCACAACAAACATGTGGAAACAGGTGCTCTGCTCAGTTGAGGAATAGTTTCTGGCATTCCATTAGAATAATGTGTGGCATGCAGTACAATTTTCAGCTTTTTATTTGCAGGTAAATTTTGAAAATTATATTTCATATTAGATATTCTTCCACTTTCTAGATAGACAGACAGCAGGGGGGAAAAAAGCTCAGCTGCTTTTGTGCAGAAGATTATGTACAGAACATGCAACTGCTTCAAATCAGCTCTTATTTTCAGATGCAACAGTTAGACTGGATGCAATTTGCTTGCAAAAGCTCCATTATACTAATATACTTTGCATTTGGAAAAGAGGTGCATCTGTACTCAGAAGCAGCTGAAAATGTCAGTTTGTGCAAAATGAGATGATAACCAGAAACGATTGAGTTTTGATCCAAATTGCAAACCTAATATTACCACAAGGAAATTAGAATGCAAAATGACTGGAAGACATGCCAGAACACCTTCACCTTAATCATGAGATCCTTGAGGGTTTAACCGATCTGGAAAACACCATTTTCAGATTCTGACCTCCAACTCTCAGGTCTGTCTGCTACAAAGAGAGTGTTTGGGTTTGCATATCTTTGAGCACACATGTTTTCAGTTTTTGTGGATCAGACCCATCATGTTGCTGCTGCAGAAAGAAAGAGAGAGAAGTTCATTTCATTAGAGAGGGAGGACAACAGAGAGAGGACAGACGCCTTCCACACTCGGCGCTCTAAACCCCCTCAAGGACTCGGCTCGTTGAAACAAACTGTGCAAAAACATGACAGAGAGGCTCACCCCGACTCGCGTGGAGAAATCCAGCCTAAGCCATCTGCTTAAAAAGGTGAAAAGCTCATTAAAATTCAAATAAGCAAAGCCAGGAAAAGAAAGAAAGGGGAAAAACACAGTGGAAGGAGAAGGCATAGAGGGGGATTAAAAGGAGGCAAGTTTCTTCCATTTTTTTTCAGTTATCTCTCAAACCAGTCAATATAATTACTCCACAGGAGAAAGGATGAATATTCCCAGAGAACTTTGGAAGTCAGAAATCCACAGGAATTCACCAAAATCCAGATTTAGCTAACAATCACCAACAAACCAGCGGTTAAGCAAGGGTCAGGACTCAGAAAGCATTCACGTATGTCTTAAAGATAAAAGTTTCCAAATGTGTCTGGTTAACTATGTGAGTATGGCCTTGCTTAAATTTTGACCAGTTCAGATTTGTATTCATACCAGCAACAAAACATTTTCTCTAAGTTGACTTTGTATTTTTTTTTAATGATATAAAACACTTTGAAATGCAATGTTGCTGAAAGGTGCTATGCAAATAAAATTTGATTGATTGATTGATTGTTTAATAGAGACACCTACTTTGGATGAAAGCATTTGTCCCTAACCTTAATCAGATTTTTGTTAAGTTTGAAAACAGTCCTCCAAAGTCTTGTTGTGTTTATAGATGATGATTGGTGTTTTTTTTATTATGACTTTTATTAAATACCAAAAGGGAATACTGTTCGATTCCAAACTGTAGTTAACTGATCAGTGAATCTCAAATGAAAGTAGATATTCTGTTTAGTTTGAGGCCTTAGTGGTCAACATGAAAAATGTCGCTACACTTTTCTGTTTCCTGTTCTGATTTAGATACAGTCGCAAACGCTTGTTCAAAGCCACCTGGAGGTAACACCTGAGACTTCGTTTTAAAGATCTCATGAGAAAATGTCAGTCTGCGGTCTGACCTCTGGTGGAAATGGTGTTTGGACCTGAACTTCATTATTATTTCATCAGGCCCTAACATCTCTGCAAGGCGGAGTTTCACTGCTGTGGACACGACAGAAAAAAAACAAGAAAAAAAAAGCTCTCTGGCTCAGTGCTAATTGAGTTCATGTCATTAGTTTTTCATATTTATGCGCAGAAATATATTTTCCCTTTGCTTCAAATGCTTGCAATATATCCGACTGCAATTCTCCAGTGGAATCAGCCCCACATGCTGGAAACCGTAATTGCACAATATTTCTTTATAACAGAAAGCGTAATAATAATTTTCATATTAAAAGCAAAAACATTAGTGGCTCAATTGGACGTGCACTGCGGCGGCAGCTGTAAACTATATTGCTCCAATAAGATTTTATGTTGCAAAATTACCCTCGGTATTTCACAGTTTCCACATGATGCATACGTCCAAGCTGTACCTTATTAACACAAGCAAAGGACAGAGCGCTTTGTTAATCAACACGGGCTTTAATTTGCAGAAAACGCACGACTCACAGCCACTGGGGGGAAGGGTAGCGACAAGCTGGGAAATAAGTTTTCTTTCTGACTTAGATGGAGTTTTTCCCTTCACACCTTTTATTACCTGGTGTTGTAGGTGGGGACAGAGATGGAGCAGAGGGAAAACTGATCAGGATGGTGTAATTGGCACCCTGCAGGTTGATACAGTCCTCTGTTTTATTTCAAACTTTTAAATTAGAAAAGGTGTTCCTGCTCTGGAACTGATACCTTGTTTTTAACCAGTTATGTTACATGAGACATGAGAGAGAAATATGGAGCATGAAGTGTCCCCCCTCCTGAGCAGGAAAAACATGTTTCTCTATCAGAGTGAGACTTTCTGTGACCAATTTTAGCAGTAATGGTTCACCTTCAGAATGATTTACGATCCCTAAGGCAAGAATAGATATATTAGACATTTGATTTGAAAAGATTTAAAGAGATAATTATTGTATGCAATGAAACTAAATTTTTAAGCAGTTGAAGAAGAAAACAAGTTTCAGTAGGTGTAATCTCACTTCTCAGACAAATTTCCTTGTTGTAGTATTTTTTTTTTCATTTTAATTATAAATGTGAAACATATACATTAATGTCATTTATAATAAAAAAACATATATGTGCATTATTATAAGTTATCCACAATGTGAAGGTCCTTCTAGTTCATTTCTTATCTTCAACATATTAAGCATGTTTAAAATGATATCCTTTTTAAGAAACTTTTTTCTTTTTGTGGGAGGATTTATATTTTTTACAACAAAGATGAATCACATTTAAATGAAGAAAATCTACTGATAATATGAAGTTTCCAAAACAAAATGAAGCAATGAGATTGAAAAATAATAAACGTGTGGTATAGTGATAAGGTATAGTGAGAAGCAATATATAATACTTTCGGGTGCTCACAGGATACAATGTTATTAGTTTGTATAAAAAGTTATGTTAATTTATATTTTATAAATGTTAAAATGCCTTTGATAAATATTGTATTTTTTCATTGAATAGATAAAAATAGGTAGAAACAGAATGGTTTATTGTGATTTAAACCATGAGAGGCATTTCAGTTGTAGTGGGGCCATAATGAATGCTGCTTGCATCAACTTTTATCTCAATACTTTGTGAAGAAAGTGCAGGTTGATGCGATTGGTTGTGAAGTTGTACGGATGTTGAGGAGATCAACAGGATGAGGCAAGGCAAATTTAACCTTCTAAAGTTAGCTGTAACTTTAAAAAAAAATCAATATGACAAACAGGAAACCAAAGAAGATGTAGAAAAAAAAACTGGTGAGAAAACCTCAAAAATTACAAAATTGCATTGAATAAAATAGAAATGGCCTATATTGTCCGACTCGGGGAAAATCCATGTATAGCAGCAGCTTAAAAGTTCATGAAGCTGCTAAAACAGGCCGGAAGCAGTCGAAGCCCAGGTATGAAATATTTGACCGACTAATAGCATACAGCAATTCCTACTCAGACTCAAGGTTGTGTTGGTCACAAAGCCTCTGAATTAGTCAAAATAAATGATAAAGCAGACAATGACTATTTCTTATCAGTGCCGACAACACAGATAACCAAACATCATTGGAGGCAGTTTGAAGAAACATATTGCAGCCAATCTGCTGAAGTTTTACTGGCGACAGTCAGGTCAAACACCGTCATAGTCTCAGGTGAGCATTGGCATGGTTAGCAGGCACCCCACAGTGACAGCAGATTAAAATAAAGAAAC